CACTTATCTTACCAGACAAATCTGGTACCAATCTGGCTTGCCTGGCCTAGACGGATATCCGGTATTTCGAACCCGTGACCGTGCGTATGTGAAATGCGCCACTTGACACTACACCATCTCCGCCCTGCTTCAGCATTCAGGAATAATTAAGAGTCGATGATAATGCTTGTCCACAGGTGTTTGGAGGATGTATCGAAATTCTCGTATAATCACTGATTGAATAGATAACTACTCACTATCTCTGCGAACTGGTCGATCTGCATTAGAATCCATAAAATTCCGTAACATCTTCACAATATTCCATACAGCGTAGTCTGGCCTCAGAGCTACGTGACCAGGAAAGCTGAAGCAAAAAAAGCGATATTAGATGTGTTTACTGAGTGTGTCATCGTAAATGACTATGAACTTTAGCCATTTGATTAAGAAAAAAAGTTAGAGGATTAGTTCATGGCGGTGAATAATCCCTTCCAAAATGCCTCCACCCTCACAACTCCCACTCAGAATCTTAATGGCATTCGGATGCATGTTTGACGTAAACACTACGAGCTGGGATGTCGAAGTATGTACCTTTTTGAGGACTAAAACAACGAAATCCTTTATCTTTTATCAATGGTTTCCAATTACATTTCAGTCAAAAAGCTTTGTATGAAGAAATAAGTCAGTTCAGATCAGATGAGTTCGATATTTTTGTGCTCCAGCAGTTGTTTTAGTTTTGGACAACATCACTTCGACATGGATATGACGATATCACAGAAGGAATTGTTAGTGAAGTATCAGATTGAAAAGAAGAACTTCGGGCGGTCCGATCGCACATGTCGAGGTCCAAACGATACTGAAATCCACTTCGTGAACCAGGGTACTTTGTGAGGAATTACTGGTACCCAATTTATCAAAAATGTAAACCGTCGAGTTTTCAATTAATGAGTAATCGAGTTTTCAGTCTCCTTTGATAATTCTGCCTGATAAATCAATGGGACTTTGCGTGGTGCAGGTGGCGTAGTGGAGAGGTATGCTGCCTGGCAAGGGTGATCTAAGGATCAAGTTCTAGACTGGTGCTGGCCCACGCCGCCCACGTCTGTAACCACCCCCGGCTTAGCCGAATGGTACCAGACTAGCTCTGTAGGATCCGGCCGACCACCAGAAGTCATTTTATTGACCACATAGGTATTCAATCGGCTACCACAACTCTGAATGGAAGTCGAATGCGGTGCGCAACACAGAAATGGGATTGACTCAGTCAAAGAGCTTGTCATTTATAATTTATGAGCAGTCTGTGGATCAGGTGGGTTTTTAAAATAAATCCTGAACTGATCTTCGGAAGACGCATTTCAACTCCGAAGGATGGACCCCACCGCATTAGCATTTAAAGTATAGGTCAAGACCTAGAGCGCTAACCAATCCCTTCACTGGAATTATTCCCCATTTATCCTCTCAGACGAACCTGGAACCAACTAGGCTTTACTGGCCTAGACGGATATCCGGTATTTCGAACCCGTGACCATGCGCATGTGAAATGCGCCGCTTGACACTACACCATCTCCGCCATGCTTCAGCATTTAGGAATATTCAAGAGTCGATGATAATGCTTGGCTACAGGTGTCTGGAGGATGTGTCAAAATTCTCGAATAATCACTGATTGAATAGAAAACTACTCACTATCTCTGCGAACTGGTCGATCTGCATTAGAATCCATAAAATTCCGTAACATCTTCACAATATTCCATACAGCGTAGTCTGGCCTCAGAGCTACGTGACCAGGAAAGCTGAAGCAAAAAAAGCGATATTAGATGTGTTTACTGAGTGTGTCATCGTAAATGACTATGAACTTTAGCCATTTGATTAAGAAAAAAAGTTAGAGGATTAGTTCATGGCGGTGAATAATCCCTTTCGAAATACATCCACCCTCACAGCTCCCACTCAGAATTTTAATGGCACTTAGATGCATGTTTGACGCAAACACTACAACTGGGCATACCAAAGTATGTACCTATCTGCCACTAAAGTGTTAGTCCAGGTAATTCAGGGTGAATACAACTGCAGAGTAAGAACACGAGATTCTGTAGTGTTGTAGGTGGCCGCCAGTTGTTGTTGACGAACTCCATGTAAACTGTTGAGGAACACCAGTAGATATGTAGGTTTATTGGAAGCTGCACCGGACACGAACGCATGACGGAATAGAATGAATAGAATACGTAAAAGCTTCTCTCTGGGAATCATTCTAACAGAGCTACGTACAATGCGCGGGTTTGCAAAGTCTATGATAACATGTACAATTGATAAGCACAATAATACCCTACAACACGTAGTATGACCACAAAAGGGGCAGTGGCCCCAAACCACACCAAACATCTCGGAGGGAAATACGACCATTAAACGGAGATCGAAGTTTTTCAGACCCTCACCACTCAATCTTCCAACAGTTGCCGATGTTAATTGAAGTGGCCCACCCGAGCTAGTATTCCTCCCTTTAGAGAAGGGTACTCCCTGGTTCAGAACAATATACGACAGTGCTATGTAATTCTGCTTGCATCATCCGATCGAATACTTTTTCTTTCTTGCGAGCTGGTTTGACGGATGCCAATTTTTGAAGAATAGGACAATGAAGATCTGACTACGTCATCGAAAAAATGAATAACTTCATCAGAATCATCCACATTTCTTCAAGATTCGATTGGAAATCGGAAGCACGGCGCAATGGGAATGGATGAATCGCTGCCAATGGTTCGGTTTCGGTTTTTTTCCCTTCCCGAGGGCATAGCCCCATCAGATACACATGAAAGTTAGGAGAACTTTTAACATCGATAGAAAAGCAACGGTGATGAAGAAGTGATTGATTACCTAATAAAATATTCGATAGAGAAATACCGTAAAAAGCAGATTGATGATAAGAAACAAATTAAATTTTACAAAAAGGACTTCAACGTACCCTTCTTGTGTTTCCACTGGTGTCCCAAGATTCGGCTCTGGTAAAGCATTTGAACTTATAAAGGCCATGATCAAGACAACGGCAAGGGGCAGTAGTTGTTGGATGGCCATCGGCTAAAAATTTGATCATCAAGCTATAATTAAGCAAAAACAATGGAATAAGACGGAAAGGGCGATTAAGAGGAGTAATGGCTACAGCTCAAGCTGGAAAACTAAAACTTATTTAAATCGTAAAAAGAACGAAAGAAAGGGCGAAAAAAGTAGCCGACGATTGAAGCTTAGAATCACGAGGACCAGCTTTGTAGAACTTTCCTGAAGATTGTTGGAATGAAAAGGTTAAAAGTTAATAACTACCTGACCATAACTACTGTTTAGTCGATAATATAGTCACAAGAATGCACTCTAACAGGAGACTTATGACCTCGAAATGGTGTTTTCCTATGGATATTGGTCGTAAGGCAAGTCGTAACCTCTACGTTCTATTCCTCCATAAAAATCTAATTTTTTTTTTACAATTCATCGCATTCCAAGTGGGATAGTTTTTTAAGACAAGTATTGGAGGAAAAAATGAAGTTCTCCAGGTTACAGGGCTAACTGATCGGGAGTAATCACCATATCAAACGTAGTTGGTAGGCGGGGCACAGGTGGGCGGTCGCTTAGAGGGTGGTCGTTAGAGTCCCACGACAGCATGATCAGCTGTTTTCAAATTAATTATGACTTTTTCAACTGGCTAGCCCTCACAACCAGAAATTGAAGAGTTTTTATGGGAGACAATCGAATCCCCAAGAGTCCCCTTCCTCAACGTATGGGACCTTTTCAGGGACTACGTCTTCCGCTTGGTACGAAAGACTTTACAGTATGTGTGTATTTAGGTCAAGACGCAAAATTTGTCACTTACTATAAATGACACTATTTTGTAAAGAAATGTGGTAGCCACCGCTGCAATATTCCACCGTAAAATGTGCCAGATATGGGTCCGCACATGCCACTGTCGTCGATATGGGGTCAAACCATGCCCCATATCGACGACGACAAGAGCGCCACGGTCTCGATTGACGGTCATGATCCGTACTTCTTTATACCGTCAGGAAAAACTTTATGAAAAGTCAATCATGGCTGCAGAGCAAAAGATGACCCAGCCTCGGGTCACAGCGACCTTGGCACTTTGTGACCCATACCCGTTTGTCAGTAATACCCGTGGTCAAAAGGAAGAAACACTGAAAATAAGTTGAATACTGTTTTGCAATTGAAAGTTGCTGGGTGACTTGAGTTGGGATTCGAATCAACAGATAATTAAGTGGGCTATGAATATCAGTATTCGTCATATTACGTTATCCCTCGTACTGCTAGCAAACCATTTCGATTCCCCTGAGAGGCATTGTTTTTTCAATGTGCAGTCCAATATCGCTGAAAATAGTCATTAATGAAATCCAAGCAAATTTATCATCGGAATCCCTCGGAAGCTTGCTTCACTAGCAATTCCTTGCAGTCACACAATGAAAGGTAATGCTCCTTAGTTGTTCGGTTTAACGGCCAAAAAAAAGTTCAACTCCCGGAAACTGTAAGCCCTACGGCAGGGCTGATATGGGGCTTTAGAGGCCATAGTTTTGGGGAGACGGGCGTTAGGAACGATTTTTGGTAATCGATTTGTCGCACGCGGCTGTCGCGGACCACTCATTCGCCGCTATTACAGCTCTAGCGTTCTTCATACAGCTCACTCGATATGCGATCATTATTTTATGCATAATTCTACTATTAGTACTTTTCTTCTTGTATTTCTTACCTACTGCTGCATCCTGCTACATTCCTTCGCGCGCGACGCCCCTCTCACCGCGGCGCGACCATTCGTTCCTAACGCACCACATCCATAGTTTTGTAGCACGGATAAAACCAAGAGTTTTGCTCCCAACAGATTCTTGCAGCATAGAAGACTTTGAGATTGAATAGGGGTCCTGAGCGCCTCTCTGAGGTGGTATGCCCTTATCAAAGGGATCTCCACACTTTTCAATCTTTTCATATTCAACTTCACCCTTGTTGCTCCCATTTGAGGATTGTTTCATAGGAGAACTCGGAGAACTAAACGGTACTTCTTGATGAAGAGAGAGTTGTTTCGAAGCCAGAAATGATTCTCAATTCCCTGATAACTCCACATTTGCCATTACCATCAGTATTAATAGAAGTAGAGGTAAAGTAAAGGCTGGCGTGCTTTGCCATGGAACCTCCATTGAAAAGCAATTTTTTATCAAAATGAAGAATTGAAAAAAGAGAGCATAGCAGAGGGATATGAAAGCGAGTAAAAGAAAAAAGGAGTAGTTAGAAATGCAAAACAAAATTCCGAGAAAAACACCCCGGACAGAGCTGTAGTGGTGTGAGAAAAGGGCATTTCTCACGCTATGCCTCACTAGACCTAACAAAGTTCTGGGAAGTATATATAGAACATATCAAGAAAACAACCGTTTATTCTGTTTACTATTAGTTATTTATTCATATATATTTCATAAGCGTCCATGTTCGACTCTCGATAAATCTTGGCATAGCTTTGCATTTATTTTATAAGATTTTAATAAAACCTGCTGCGAAGATGGTAAATAAATTCTTATCAAC